TTTGGAGAGGGACTAGTTCTGCAGCACATAAGCCAGTATCAGTGTTGTATAATACAGCAGCTAGACTCATTTTGCAGTGTGATTACAAAACCCATCATAGTGAATTATACAGCAAGTTAAATTGGTTTCCACCTTCTGCAAAGCCGGAATATTATCTTGCACAAATAGTGTACAAATGTAGAAATAATACAAGTCCAACTTACCTGAACGATAGACTACAGAGAGCTTCCACTGCTCACTCTATCTGCTGCTAATGACACCTGCTGCATTCTGAAAGCAAACTCTAATATGGTGAATACTCCCACTTTTTTTTTTTCCTTTTACGAAGCTTTAATTTACTAGGACATCCTAACACTGCTAAAAACTGTCCAAATCTGACAAATAACTTTTTGAGTAATGTCTTTTCACTTTTCTTGATCTGAAATACTTGTGAATGTGTGTTGCTACTGAACATTCTTCCCATTAACTAAAAAGCACCGTCACTGGCTTTAGATTTTCCAGCGTAATTTAAAATACAGAAACAGTCCTTCGGTATAAGTAACCCAGACTGTTCACTGTAAGTCTTCCCATGGTAGGTTTTTGTATTGCTTCTAGTCATGCTTTTTATTTTTTTTATGCAGCACTTGAACTCATTCAAGGAACAATACAGTCCTCTGACTACATATGAAAAGTAAGCCACTTGCATACAGTTGTCTGTTGGAGGGTTTTTTTTGTTTGGGTTTTGTTTTTTTTTTTTAAACACAAATAGGATAACGAGAGAGAAGGAACAGAACTTGGTGAACTTAACTATCCTGGCCTACCTGCTTGATTCCAGTCACTGAACACATCAGCTAAGAACAGCTGAAAAAGAGCTATGTAGTCTTAATGCACTTACATCCTAACATTATGTTCACAGTATTATAGCTCAGGATAGGTGAACTGGTGGAGAGAAGGGCAGGGAAAAGGAGAGAAACAGTCAAGTAGCTCAATTAAGACTGAAATTATATCCCAAGAAAATCAGATACCAAACCAGACTACCTACCAAGGTTTCCTCCAGCTGGACAGGCCTTGGAGAAGCTTTCTAAGCCCGTTCATCCATTTCTAGAATTCAATGACCATGCAGGCTGTTAAAAAAAATTGCTACATACATATGTACATGCAACTGCATGGATATAGTATAGTTGATTTCTTTTTCTCTGTATGTTAAAATCAGCAGATCCATCTCTAGCAGAGCTATACAAATAAAGTTATTTCGAACGTACTTTTTTGCAGACATTCTGTCCATCCTCCAGGTTGAGAATTGTTACTGCTGTGCTGCGACATAGTTGATGGTATTTGGCGTTGCCATTGTGTTAAATGTTTGTCCTGTGATCAGCAACTGCTGATTTAAATGAAAAACTTCAGCCATTTTCTCGTCTGTATATTTCACAGTCATTTCAAATTCAGGTAGACAAAAAGGTATAAATGATACCAGGTGAAAAATGTATTGTGTCTAAATGAGATTTCCATGATTTGATTTCAAGCTCACAGCACACAAAGAGAATATGCTTTTAGTCACTGTAAAGGACAGAACATGTCGAAGATCTGTAGTCATCTGAGGTATAATTAGTAAACATGTACACACATTCACTTCACAGTGCTTGCATATTGAAATGCCTGAGCTGAATATTTTGTCTGGACAATGTCCAGGCCAAAAACTTAGAATTCCAGCTTTTATGTGTGGGATGATTTACTTTAGCAGTTCTGACAAATGAATATGAGACATAGCTAGGTGAAGGCAAGCCAGAATCAATGGGACTTTAAGGCGCTTGGCACTTTTAAAAGATTTTGAGCATTTAATTCTCAAATTTATCAGTATTAATAATTCTAATCTAATGCATTTTCCTTGACACTTACAATGAGTCAATTTCTAATTAAATGTTGTTGAAAAAGATGAATTACCATTTTACATGCTTAAAAGGAATGTCGCTAATATGTCTAAATCTAGATGTGAAATGTAGAACGATACGATTCTAATCCCCCTAAATACTGTGGTTATCCAAAACAATTTTATACTGAATTAATTTCATTGTCAAAAAAGGAGCAAGTACTGGAAAACTGAATGATCAACATTTAACCCTCTAACATGTATTGGTATAAATTTCATATTCAAATTACATGGAATTAGTTTGCAGAATGAATCATTTCCCTCCGGTGGGGTAGCGATGACTTCAAGAAATAGCACGTCGCTATTGCCAGATCACAAATTCATTAATTTTCTCTCCCCTTTGCATTGTAGATATTCATGTTTAAAACCTGTATAAATGCACAATTTACAGCTATGCCCACCAGTAGTAGCTACCATCTCTTTTTGACTGACAACGATGAGATTTCTGTCATGCTTTGCCTCTCCTACAGTGCCAGTGATGTTTTTTTTTTTCCTGGAAATCTTATTACTGAATGTGCTGTCGTGGTCTCAGATGGAACTTTCAATCAAAAAGGCAATCAGAAGGTTATCCATTTGTGAGTTTTCCTACAAAAGAGCTTTGCAGAACTCTACAGTCTATGCTATAGCTCATAGTCAGAGCTACTTGCCCTAAACACTTATGTGACTATAGACAATAATGTGATTCGTATCTCACAGCACCTTCCTTTGCTCCCAGGAGTGGGATGTAGACTAGAAATTGGCTCAGTCCAAGTTTCGAATCAGACTTTTGCATTTACACTACTATTAGATTTGGCATGGCAATTCAGAACACCCTGGCACTTGGTGCAAGTGATTAGTAAGAATGTGTTTGGCTGTTATTACAGTCTGTTACATAAATATGTTTGATTTCATTGAAATCTTGATGACTGCTTTTTTTCTATTTTTAGATGACTTCACTGTTTACTTTATACTATTACTAAAATTGATAGATAAAGTTATTCAGAGGCAGTTTTTTAATGCAGTGTAACTTAAATGAATTGGATACTTCATTAATTTCAATAAAATCTTTATAATACATATAGAAGTCATGTTAGCGTATTAGTTGTATGCAAACTCTGGTCATTAAAATCAGCCATGCCACAGCTAAAGCGAAGTAAATGTTTCCATTTTGAAATACAGGCAAAATTGGGGGTGATGCATTTAGACATTTTCGTTTGCAGAGCAAACATTACTGAGGAGCTTAAAGAGAGGGAATTGTTTTTACTAGCAACACTTTAACAAAAATAGGGTGAGGTTATTTTTCAGCATGGCGCAGTGAATTAGACACACATAACTCCTGTGGTCACAGGCTGCTGCATATCTAATTCTGCAAACACTGTCAGAAATTGTTTCAAATATTATCCTTTTTTTATTTTGACTGTATTCAACTAATAAATAAATAATTTTGAAGGAACTACATTCCTCAACAAACTATGAAGTTATTCAGACAGATTCCTTTCTGCAGTGTACAGGTAAAACTGAAAGAAAAGCAATAACAAGAAAAGTATTTATAAAAATATATTTCACAAAGTAGGAAACAATACAGGAGTTTCTCTGAATACAATACATGGAGTAAATAAACAAACAATAATATAGCTTCAAAACAAAGTAGAAAATTAAAATGATTTGCATGTAATACGTAGTTTTATTATACAATTGCTACTTCTAAATGGCAAGTTTGCATTACAAATTGAGTATGCTTGCAGCTTCTAGTGTTGTTCCTTCTCTGTGTGCAAGAGCCCTGGTGCATCACTATGAATATTATAGAAAAGAAATGCTAATAACATAGGCAGTAAAATTATGTACACACTGGTTCCTGCTCTAATACAGTGGAGAACTATAAGCATGTTTTTTACTGTACTGTGTTATGTGTGGATTTCTAAAAGTCTATAGTTTAAATATTCACATGAACCAGTTTACTTCCAGCTGTTTGTGCTTGTATTAAAAACACCAGGTACTAGATTTATGAAGGAGATATAAAACTGTCAAAAGTTTTCTCTGGGAAAGTTTTATTCCTGCCAGCATTCTCTTAAAATTCAGCTACTGCAAATGGATAGGTTACTGCTTTAACCTGCAACAAGTTGTCATTTTTCTTTTCAAAATGTACATGTATTAAACATTCATTATATATAGAAAAAAAATCTAACGGATATAATTTAGTTTTCTTCATAATCTTACTCTATAGATTATCAGTCTTAATAAATAAAAGCAGTAATGGACATCAATAAAATATTTATTTCAAAGATTAAACAAATAAATTCGATCTTTAGCAATAAAATCAGCAATTATTTCATATATGTAAGTCCATCCCCTTTCAGAGGGTTTTTTTTTCCTTTCAGAAGACGAAGCACAGGATTGATCCTTCTTCTAGAAAAAGATCCTTTTGTAAAGCAAGGTTTTGTAGCCCTGCCTCTGAATCTCTGCACATTAGTAGGATTTATTACCCATCACTGGAATGGATTAAGAACATGTGAATATTTTAAGGCTTGACACAATATTTAAAGATGATATTCAGTCTGTGGTTACGTGGCCAACAATTACTGTATGTACAATGTATGGTCACTGCACAGTAGAAGCCAGTAGGAATTTACAATGCTATTTCTATTCAGCATTGCTAAGAAGACCAAGATATTGCTTTTAACATTTCTGTGGCGGGATCTTTGTTGGCAATGCAGAAACAAACTATTAGCTTTACACATACTGGCAGGAGCTACTGTTCAACAGCAAAATCCCTGCAAGTCCATTTTCTAGGAAAGCACCGATTTCTTTTTGTTCTTTTCAATTCACTGAAGATAATCAAAGATCCAAATCTCCATCTTCAGAGTGGTCAAGTGAATATCAAATATCCAAAGACTTCTAGACACTCCACATACTTTACTTCACACTCCACAAGACTTAACCTCCTAACATATACTTTTTTTTTTTTGGTTCAACATTACAATGTAGTTGATTTTATAGATGACTGGCGCTAAACTTGCCTCTAAAACAAAAAGCCACATTAGTTTTAACTAACAGCAGTGGCCCTAGAATATTACATGATCATTAAGTCAACAGTGAAAAAGTTTGTAATCCACCGTCAAGTTTCTTTGTCACTTTCTCCAACTGAGTAAAGTTCTCCAAGTCTTTTAAAGCGAGGACCCCATTCACTGAGGTAGTCAAAATTCTGATCTGAGTCTGATGTAGACGACTCCAATGAGCTAAGGGAACCAGCCGCTGACCCTCTTCCTTCATAGCCATAAATCTGGATAGAGTCATATGGTGGAGCCGTGGGATCATTATCGGCTTCATGAAGCCTTACATTAATGAATTCATCAACATCAACACCATTAGGAACAGGTGCGAGACCCTGCCTGGGCATAAACTGAAGATCAGGCTTAATATCCTTGCGAGGCAAAAATCCATTAATTCCATCCGGATTTTGTAAAGTTGCAATGTCAAAAGCTTCTGTATCTTCTTCTCCACCTCCTTCATCATCATAGCGAATAATATTTTCCCTCACATCTTCATCATCTTTGATGATTAGAGGCTCATTCTTATGTCTTCTTAGTGTTACAAACAGCACCACAATGACTGCAAAGAAAGTATTACAGGCTGATTAGGTAAAAAATTTCCAATCAAAGCATTACATGTTAAGTGCAGTTGTGGAAGGTGATAGGCTGCTTTTTGTGAAAATAAGAGCAATAAGGGTAGTGAAAACTTGAAAGACCTATAACTTCAACCCCATTCAGGTGATGTACGTTTGATCAGAAGCTCTGGTTAGTCCTCTACTTTTCTGTTATCAGCTTATATTTACATCTGAAGCTCAACTTTATATAAGCAATAAGATTTCACATACTTCTATTTTTGAGTCTCGAATTTAGACCACAACTTTTCCTTTTAGAAAAGTTACAGACCTAGGTGAAGTCAAGCTATCATCATTCACTGAACACAGTCTGTAGTGATCTACCTTATGGATGAGTTTTCCAAAATTAGAGGTGTTTTTCTGAAAATATAGCCCTGATGACGGAAAGAAATTAGTGTCTTTTTTTTATGTGTTGCAACAGACTCACACTAACTGAAAAGAGAATGAGACAGTAAGGGAGAAAGAGCGAGCTTAGATACATCAGTTTCAGAATCATGGACAGATGCATAAAAAGCTCTATATTGGTTACACTGTTGTTTTTGCAGCTTAATGCCGAAATAGCAGTTACTGATGTAAATCTCAGTTACAAAGTGAAGCTGCAAAACACAGAAATAGGCCTCTTCCTTCACTGTTCTCTCCCTCACTTGCTTGATGTCATATACAGATTTTGTATGTTTTATTCAAATATACAATGCTTCTTATCTTGTAAAACTGTAATGTCTCTTATGCCATTACAATCCAGAATAAACTCGTACAAGTCTTAGAAGATAAAACGAGTCCATTTTCCATCACGTGCAGTATATACTCTGTCCACCTTGCTACTTAACATACCTGATTTGATTTTCAGTTTCATACTCCATACCTATTTATTATGTAACTTGTGTGTAAGACTACTTCAGATCAGGACTTTGCTTTATATGCTTTTGTTCAGTTCTTAGTACAGTAGGGACACAGTCCTGACGGGTCTCTTGGTACTGCTGCACATTACATTGTATTAGATTGTATGTCCTTCTGTGTGACTTCTTTGCTTACTTACAGCCACCCAGGAATCAGAAAAATTTTGAACACCAGGCTGTGAAATGAATACATACCTAGCAGCAAAATGATGCATGCTAATATTGCAATCAGGGCTCCCATACTGAGTCCAATGGGAAGTACGTATGCTTCAACGTTACAGGACTGGACAGTACCGTCACTGCTGCAACCGCAGACGCGAATAGTGAGAGTGCTAGTGCTGCTCATGGGAGGATTCCCACTATCGCTTATTATGATTGGCAGTAGATATACTTCTTGCTTCTGCCGGCTGAATCCGCTATGCTTTGCCAATATGCTGAGAGTATTATCTGAAAAAGGGAAAATTTGCGTTGTTTCACCCCATAGAATGACTGCTAAAACCACAGCTTTTTCTTAACGCGTTCAGAAAACCACTATACAAACACATATGCACTTTATTATTCTCATTATACCAGCAGCATGTGACACAGAAATCCTTCCCCTTTCTGCCTGGCTGCCCATGGCCCAAATGAATGAGTGCAACATACGCATTTTCTTGTGTCAAGTGGTATGACCATAACGGCAACCCTTCACTTTCTTCTCTGCACACATCCCTATAGATGTCTTCCCATTGTGATTCATCACTGTTTTTCAAGTCACATAGTCATAAAAATTCAACCAGTACAACAAAGAGAGAAATGAAATGTTAACGTAAGCCAAGCTTAATAAAGCACATTCATCGATTAAAACAAATGTCCATGCATTGTGAGCACAAATTGCACAATATTTGGCCCTGCTATAAAAGATTCTTCTTTTTTATTAATGAGCAATATAAAGACAAACAAAGGAAAAGCTGAATGCATTAAAAGTTGTAGGCCTAATTTTTGGCAGTCTAAACATTTATTGGGCCGCAATGATGAAAACAGAACAAACCAAAACAGAATGTGTCTCCTACGAAGGCAGCCAGAGGAAATGAGTCTAGGACATTCTTACCTCTGCACACACACGCAGATACTTAATTTTAGAAACACACAGAGGCATCTGACTACATGGCATCCTACCCAGACATAAAATTACACAGTTACACTTCTCATAGTCAGCCAGTTCTCAGTTCACCATCAAAATGATTACAAGTTGATTTTACTCAGGGTAATCATATAGATTCTATCACATATAGTTGTAAGAATTCTAGATTCTAGCCATTTAGCAAGACACTACTATCAAATATCAATGATCTTGTGTGTGCCAGAATGCTCAGGTATAAACCATGATTAGTGAACATGTCAAATATGCAAAACACTTTGATTTATTTACATACTTAAATATCCACTTTAGATCTTAACTACTTTATTCTGTGGAATAAAAGAAAATTAATTCACTATTATGAGTTATATCCTAACAGAGTGCATGTTGAGTTGTACTAGTTTGGTTTTTGTGTTCTGTCATCAAAAATAACACCACAGATTAATAAAAACATTCCAATGCACACAGAATAGGAATGCTTGTGTGTGTTACTGAGGAATCCAATGACAATTTAAAAATAAAGCTGCACATCGTATTTGGGAGAAGGAGATTGTAGCTCCTTTCATTAAACTCTCTTCCCCTGTGCTACCAAAGTTAATCTTTCTGAAGCATCATGAACAAAAGTAAGCCTTCTGATATTTTATGCTATAAAATGGGCACATGCAATCACTTAATGCCATTGCATGGCAAGAAAGAAATTACTGAGAGTTTTGTGGCAGGCATAAGGAAGAGAAGAATTGGAAGACAGGCAGTGTTCATATGACACATACAACAAAGATCTGATTCTTGAGTTTAAACCAAATAAAGGTACCTGCAGTACATGACAACAGGTGTATGCACATACATACAGTGACTGTAAGAAAGCTTTGTATCTACTTTGATCCTGGTACTAGTCAGGTACTCACTTGAAAACACTAAATAGTTTAGAAATGTTTAATTTGTACTAACTGTGATCACCAGGAACACTTCTGACAGCCCATGGTATTTGTGCAGCATGTATCACTGCCCCAACATAAAAGATACATGTATGCTCGAAATAGCTGGCAGTCTGTGAAGTACAAAAGCCAGAGAAAGATGTGGAGAAGGAAGAAGGGGAAAATGTTCATGAAGCAAACACTGTAAAGACATTTTTCACATAAAAAAGAAAAATTAAAATCCAGTATTTTGTTCTTGAAGTCCTTCTTAGTAAAGAGGCATATTAATAAAGAATAAAGGTGTTACAGAATATAATGATTACAGAATGAAACAGTACTAAACTTTGTCATGTCCTGAACCTATATCAAGATATCAATCAGTAGATAACTCTTATAGTTAATTCATTACTGCCATAAAACAAAAGATGAAAAAGATTATTTGATATTTAAGCACATGGGGTAATTGCCTCATACAAGAGAACAAAGAAGGCTTGTTTTCCCATTCAGTGACTAAGAAACTGAACTTCAAGTAGGCTCCTTCTGAAGTTCAGGTTCTTTGATTTTGCAGTCTTACTGTATCCCTTCCATGGTGGAATCACCTACCAATCACACTTATGCAGCCTAGAGAGGTTCTTACTATAATTTATATTGTAGGTTATGTAATCATTTCAGCATTTTTCATAGCATTTAGAGTATGTAACACAGAAGATCAACCTAAAAATTAACTGCTTTATAAAGCGGTATAAATATGGTCACTTCATAATACCTTTGCAGAACAAAAATGATTCCTAATGATTTTTCTTTCCAGGAATCCTGAGTTTTTATCTATTCAAGTTGGAAACAGTCACATCAAAACTGATGGCACCCTGGAGCTAAATAAATAGTCTAGTCCTTCCTTGTGCCCTTTTTAAAATTAAAGGAAGCATATGTGTTTACTGAAGATAAATTTCAGGCATAAGCTCTTAAGAATTCTGACAACTAAAATAGGACCAAACTCCTTGATGATACCCAGTGTTATATGTGCCACAATGATGCAGTGGAAAAGTCAAGTATGTTTTAAGTCAACAATTAGCACACATTTAGAATTAAGCAAAAACTGCACTCTTCCTTCTTGGTTGAACGTGTCAGAGATTTAAACACACATGTGTGCAAGTTAAACCACTTCCAGTGTCATACTTGCTCTCTAGCTGAACTGTAAGGAACAAAGGGAAAAGTTATGTTAGTAAAATAATACTATAGCGAAGTTTTCCCGAATATTGGTGTGTAAAGCTTTACCAAGTACGAGTGACTACTACACCTACTGTAATGTGTAAAAGGTACATTTTTTATCTGATAGCATTCTTTTCCTCCTGCACACCTCCCCATTTTCAAACACTGAAAAATAAATGTATCTGTCCATTTGACTTTCTCCTGCAAAATTAAAAAGATCTCAGCATAAATTGCATCCTTAATCCTTTTGCTTTAACCTTTCAAAGGAGAAAAAATGATGTGGGGCTCAATTTCCAGCTCTTTCTGTCTTTGAGACAAATCCCACTCAGAAGTGGGATGACTACTCACATCTGTAGTCATTTATTCAGAACTCCAGAGACTGTTACAGTTATATTACACAGTGACGACTTGTGCTCTAGAAATCTGTACTCTTACAGCCTGTTCCTTCCTATAAGCCTGGTACAATCCTTCTCTGTCCAAGCTGGAGGAAAGGCTTGCTATGCTGAGCCCTAGCATCCCTGCCCTTTACAGATATGCAGAAGAGGTAAGGCACCTGCTTTAGGAAGAAATGAAAAAAAGAAGCTGTTCTTGTTGGTGACAGCTTCAGATCCCTTCCATCTTTCTGACACACCCACTGCTACTCTGCCTGGTTCAGAAAATTCTAATAAGCCAGAATCAGAGAGTAAAACAAAGTAAAAAAGGAAGAGTACTATAAAGAGACAAATAGAAGAGGGCAGAAAAAATGAGAGGAAGGAGGAGGGATGGAGAAAATAAAGTGCCCATTTCTGCCAATCAGTGAAGCTATGCTGAGTATAAGAAACTACCTGGTACGCGTAATGGTTATCAATTCAAGTTCAACAGAAATGAGATAAAGTAAAAGATACACAAGATATTTGGATATTTAGCTGAACTGTTTAAGCGTAAAAAAGCTCTAATGGCTGAATAGTTACTATTATGTAAGAAGAGATACAAGACAATGAGAGAAGAGAATAACCTTTTGTCCTGGTTTCATCTGGGATAGAGTTAATTTTCTTCCTGGTAGAGGGCATAGTGCTGTGATTTGGATTTAGCATGAGAATAACCTTGATAACACACTGATGTTTTCGTTGTTGCTAAGTACTGCTTATGCTGGTCAAGGACTTTTCAGCTTCTCATGCCCTACCGGAGAGAACCTGGGAGGGGGCACAGCCAGGCCAGCTGACCCAACCTGGCCAAAGGGCTATTCCATACCATATGGCATCGTGCTCAGTATGGGAACTGGGGGGAGTTGGCTGGGGGGCAGTGATCGCTGCTCA